CCGCAATGGCTCCAGCCTCATGAAAGCATGGCACTTTGAAAGGGAAAGAACAAAGATGGTTACTTTGGTTGTTGTTACCTGTAATGGCTGAAAAGCTGCAGCTGATGTGGCCTGGGGGCCAAAGCCAGGCCAGATAAGTAGGATGACTGATAGGAGGCCAGGGTCTTCTGGTTCCACCTAATCAGAGGCTCAAGGCCATATGCATATGAATAGGAAGATAGTTAAGGTGTAACCTGTTGCCATCAAGTCAATTCTGACTCATAGCGACCCTACAGGACAGAGTGGAACTGCCCCATAGAGTTTCCAAGGAGCGTCTGGTGGATCTGAACTGCTGACCTTTTGGTTAGCGGCCGTAACTCTTAAAACCACTACACCACCAGGGTTTCCAGTTAAAGGTGTACAGAAGACTAAACTGGAATGTTTTAAAAAGGGTTATGTGTTTAGAATTACGTGTTTAATTGAATGTACTATGGACATTGAATGTTTCTTCTACCTTGTGTTGTAAAGCAAACCTAAATGTATAGTAGAAATGAATATTGGGTATTATAGATTACAGAGAGCTGTAACTCTGCCTTCAACCAATACTTGATTGGATATGCTGAAAGGGGAAGTAGGATTTGCCTGAGGGAAACACAAGCTGTTGGTTTGAATGCAGTAGCCCGGTGAATAGAGTGGGGGCCTTAGGTCGAAAACCTAAACCCCACTCAGATTTTGTATTTGGAAAGACATGCAAAACCACCCAGAACTGCTTAGAGAACTGGAGATTTGTATTTGAAGGCAGGGCCTGCAGAAGGAAAAAAGAACTCCGGGGTCTGACTAGAGGCTGTGTTTTAAGAATGTATGGCATGTCCTTGGTGATTGTTTCTGTAACCTCCAGACCCTGAAACCCTGCCCTGTGCTTTGATGTTATCTCCTGATAAATTAACATAACACTGACCATACAACCTGATTTCACTGCCCCTCTTCTACTGAGCACCTTCTGGAATACTTTCTGTTCTGATGCTGCCAGATTCGAATCATATCTACTCACAGTAAATATATTCTGTTATACTAATTTTTGGTGTTTCTCTGTGCATTTAGGTTTTGACATTTGTGAGCTCCAAGCCAGCTCTGGGTGGCTGGAGGTTGGAGAGACTGCCATTGGGGCAGCCAGCAGCAAGGACAATGAAGATGTGGGAGGGTGAGGACCAGACTCACTTCCAGGTGGGAACTGGATTCGTGCTGATTCTTACCATGCAGTTAGCAATAAAAACCCACTGCTGTCAAGTCAATTCCGACTCATAGTGACTCTACAGGACAGGGTAGAATGGTCCTATAGGATTCCCAAGGCTGTAATCTTTATGGAAGCAGATTACCACCTCTTTCTCCTGCGAAGCAGCTGGTGGGTTCATACCTCTGACCTTTCCTGGTGGGTTCATACCTCTGACCTTTCCGTTAGTAGCCAAGCACTACTAGGTCTCCTTTCAAGTTAGCAATAAAGATGGGATTTATTAGTGCAGCATACAATCTGAAAGTTCTGACATATGCATACACTCATGAAAACATCACCAAAATCAAGATAATTGTTATGGATTGAACTGTGTTCCCTCTCCCCCAAAAAGATATGTCAAAGTCCTAACACCAGTAGCTGTGAATGTGACCTTGTTTGGGAAACAGGGCCTTTCATTTAAAATATTATCGTTAAGTCATACTAGAGTAGGGTGGGTCTTAATCCTAATCCCTTCTGAGGTGTGTCTTATAAAAGGGGGAGAACACACACAGAAACAGTCATGGGTGAAAACGGACCCCATGTGAAAATACATCTATACGTAAAGGAACACCAAGGATTGCTGGCACTCACCAGAAACTGGAAGAGAGTCATGCAGCAGTTCTTTTCTTAGAACCCTAAGAAGGAATTGACACGGCTGATACCCTGATTTGGACTTCTGCCCTTCAGAACTGTGAGATCATCCGTTTCTGTTCTTTAAAGCCACCCACTTTGTGGTATTTTGTTACAGCAGCACTAGGATACTAAGACTTCAGTCCCCAAAATTTCCTTATGCTCTTCCCTCCTGCTTCTTTCTGAACTCTCTCTGGCCTCAGGCAACCACTGACCTGCTTCCTCTCATTACAGATTAGTTTGCATTTTTTAGAATTTTATATACCGTATTTTTATGCAAATCACGTGCCTTCCGTTTGTTTGCCAGCTGCCCGCCTGTGAGGTATTTTTGTAAGCGTGCTACGCTGATTTTTTTTACAACAACGTGTAAAAAAATTGGCATAGTGGTGCTCATGAAAATACCTCACTAGGGGAGGGTGCGGCTGGCAGACAAACATAGAAGGCTTGTGTTATTTTCGTAAAATATGGCATATGGAGTCATTATAGCAAGTACTCTTTCGTTCTTGCTTCTTCACTCAGCGTAATTATTTTGAGATTCATCCACATTGTAGCATATTCACTCCTTTTTATTGCTGAGTAGGATTCCAATCTATGGATGCACCACATTTTGTTTATCTATTAACCTTTTGACAGACATTTGGGTTGTTTCTAGTCCTTGGCTATGATGAATAATGCTGCTATGAATGTTTGTGTACAAGTCTTTGTATAGACATGTGCTTTCATTTTTCTTGGGTAAATTCTTAGGATTCCATTTCTCTTGGGTAAATTCCTAGGAATCATGGCCAAGTCAAATGGTAAAAGTTGGTTTAACTTTTTAAGAAAACGCCAAACTCTTTTCCAAAAAATATGTTGTACCATTTTACGTTCCCACCAGCAGTGTATGAGAGTTCCAGTTCCTCCACATCCTCACCAACACTTGGTATGGTCAGTCTTTTAAATGTTAGCTGTCCTAACGGTGTGAGGAGTCCTTGGCTGGTGCAAACCGTTAACATGCTCAGAGGCTCACTGAAAGGTTGGAGGTTCAAGCCCACCCAAAGGTACCTTGGAAGAAAGGCCTGGTGATCTACTTCCAAAAAGTCAGCCAAAAATCCTATGGAGCACAGTCCCCTCAGACACACATAGGGTTGCCATGAGTTGGAATCGACTTGACAGAAACAGGTTAGTGGGTGTGAAGTAATATCTCAATGTGGTTTTAATTTCCATTTCCCTAGTAACTAATAAACGGGCTCAAACATATCATACATCCTGAAGATGGTGAAAGATAGGGCAACTTTCTGTTCTGTGATACCTAAGGCCGCCATGATGACTCGATGGCGAGTAAGAACAACAATAACTAATGATGTTGAGCATCTTTTCATGTGCTTATAGGCCTTCCTTAGGGAACATTTCTTTTTATTTCGTGACTGTATGTCCAGCACTAAGAGCTTTACTGGAGTCCCTGGGTGGTGCAAATGGTCAAGTGCTCAACTACTAGCCGAAAAGTTGGTGGTTCAAAGCCACTCAGAGGTGCCTTGGAAGACAGGCCTCGTGAAAGGTCACAGCCTTGAAAACCCTATGGAGCAGTTCTACTCTGTAACAAATGGAATTGCCACGAGTCGAAATCAACTCCACGGAAACTAAGAGACTTCATGACTCTAGCAGGTCAGTACAATTGTGTAACTGTATACCATTTACAGAGGAGGACACAGAGGCCTAGGTCCAGTGACTTTCTAGCCTTCTCTTATCTTTTTATTATCACTATTCCTGAGTACTTCTCAGGCCACTTCCTCAGTTGCTGAATCCTCATGCTTTCTTCACTGGGCCCACTATACATTTCTCATCAACCCAGCATGTATATTTAGTTGCCTATTATGAAAATAGGAGCCCTGGTGGTGCAGTGGTTAAGTGCTCAGCTGCTAACTGAAAGGGCAGTGGTTTGAACCCACCAGCTGCTGGGCAGGCAAAAGACGTGACAGTCAGCTTCCGTAACGATTTACAGCCTTGAAAACCCTATGGGGGCAGTTCTACTCTGTCCTATAGGGTTGCTATGAGTCAGAATTGACTCAACAGCAACGGGTTTGGATTGGTTTATTATGAATATAACAAAAAGTCACACCAAGTAATACTCTGTAATGCACTCTGTACTTTCTATCCTATTTTCTTTCATTAAATTGAAAAAAAAAAATCATGATTACAACCCACTAAATTAATTTTAAGAAGCTCTGGTGGCACAGTGGTTAAACACTAGGCTGCTAACCGAAAGGGTCAGCGATTCGAACTGCAGTCTGCTGCTGTGAAGATTTTTAACCTTAGAAACCCTATGGGGGCAGTTTCTGACCTGTCCTATAGGGTTGCTATAACTCAGAATCCACTCCACAGCAGTGGGTAGTGGGGTAAATTAATTTTATGGTCCAGTAAGGAGCCCTGGTGGTGCAGTGGTTAAACACTTGGCTACTAACTGAAAGGCTGGCGGTTCAAACCCACCCAGGAGTTCCACAGGAGAAAGATCTGGAGATCTGCTTCTGTAAAGATGATAGCCAAGAAAACTCTATCAGGGCAATTCTACTTTATCGCACGGGGTCGCTATGAGTCGGAATTGACTCACAACAACAACAATGGATCACTAACCAAAATGTGGAAAACACTACTCTATGAGATAGGCCGTATACCCATTTTACAGATGAGAAAACAGTTTCCTAGGCAAAACCACTTGCTAATGATCATGCAGCTGAGGGTGAGGGGTGGAGCTGGGTCTGGACCCCAGGCCTGTCTAATTCCAGAGCCCTTGCTATGACTACGTGCAAGACCACCCTGCCCTGTCTGTCTGCCCAAAGATCCCTCTCACCTGCAGGGTGTGGCCCTGGGCCTGGAGGGCCCCCCAAGCCCGAAGCCGCCCCACGCTCAGCTCCACCTCCACCTTAGCAGTCTTGAGCTCCACTCCCTGTCTCTCCAGCCTCGCGGCCAGGGTGGACTCCCGGCGCTCCAGCGCAGCCGCCAGGGCCCATAGCAGAGCCGCCCGGGCTGCTGGCGACTGGCCCACCCAACTGTGGGCAGACGGTACACATGGGGGGTCAGCATCCTGGTCCTGGCTCTTCCCGGATGCCCACCTCCATCCACAGCCCCTACTCTGGGAGTCTAAGCTTCACGGCCAGATCCCACCTCCCTGGGGACCCAGACTCCACTGCCCCTCAGCCCTTGGGGTCCACAACCCATATGCCATGAGCCCCCACCCTGGGAGCTCAGCACCACAGTCCATCAGTACTTGGGGATCCCAGCTACCTTCTCTGCCACCCCATGACCCCAGGCTTTCCTGTGTGACCCCACGTACCCAGGGGCGACCTGGTGAGCGGCCTCCACAGCGCCTCGGATATCTTTGGCTCCGCCCTCAGCCATGTAGCCATGGATGCTGCCATAGGAATCCCAGATGGGCCTAGAGCTCCGGGCTCCTGGAGCCTGGAAACGGCCCCCTACAAAGAGCCCGTAAGGGGGCAATGGCCTGGGGTGGGACAAGGGGTGAGGGTGGGTCCTGGGGTCAGGGTCTGCTTAAACCCCATGCTCCCACATTGGATGGACCACCCCAGCTCCCATGAGCCTCTGCAGGACTCTAAACACCTGCTCTGTGAGCCTCCAGGGCGCCCTAAACTCTAGCTCCCATGAGCCTTTGGGGGACTCCAAACTCCTGATCCTGTGAGCCTCTGGGGTACCCCAAACTCTTGCTCCCATGAGCCTCTGGGGAACCCCAGGCTCCTGCTCCCAGGAGCCTCTGTGCAGATATGCATTTAGGAGAGCTGAGACTCCTATCAGGCCTCAGAGAGGTGTGAGCGCATAAGCCCCAGAGGCAATACCTGGCAGGACCTGGGATCCCACCAACATGGCTCTAAAGAACCTCATTCCAACCCACTGGGTAGCCAGACGCAATTTCCCTTCACCCCTCCAATACCCCCAGACCAACTGGCCCCTGGGAATTGCAGGCCCTGGAACAGCTCACCTGGGCCCTGTTTCAGGCCCAGCCGGTAGGGTTGAGGGCATAGCAAGGCCAAAAGTGTCATAGTTCAGACTCTCGGAAAGGTAGGGCAGCCGGGCAGGGGTTGTTGAGGGCCGCAGATACTCATAGAAGCCCTGTGAAGGGGAGAGTGTCAAGAGGACGTGGGTGGACATTAGGGGAGGATGACGGGAGTGCACTCACATCTGGGCCCCCATGCCAGGAAGAGCCGCTCTCCTTGCAGCCACCTGTGGGCACTGCAGGGTCGCTGAGGCCGTGGGCATTGATCCAGACTGTGCCCACCTGAAGCCTACAGGAGAGACAGAGCCATAAGAGAGAAAAGGAAAGTGGGAGTGGGACAGAGACCCAGAGAGAGGGGGACAAGGACCCAGAGAGGGAGATGGGGACAGAGACCCGGGGGAGGGGACAAAGACCCAGAAAGAGAGGGGGACAGAGAGCCAGAAAGAGAGGGACAGGGACCCAGAGAGAGGGGGACAGAGAGCCAGAAAGAGAGGGACAGGGACCCAGAGAGAGGGGGACAGACAGCCAGAGAGAGAGATGGAGACCAAGGGAGAGAGGGGAGGATAGAGACCCAGAGAGACAAGAGTCCTTAAGACAGAGAGAGGTCAAAGCTCAGGCCATCCAGGTAGCCATCTGTGCCCCCGTGGGAGCTGACTGACCTGTAGCCCAGCTCCAGTGCCTGCCCCAGCCTCTCGCTCCACACACTGGCACTGCCTCCCCGGGGCGTCCCGTTGGCCATGGCCAGGGCTTCCTTGGCTATGCGGAACGGGGAGGCCACGACTAGAGGCCATGGCACCTGGGAGGGGGAACAGGGGTGCTCAGGCAGGATCCACAGCCCCCTGAGATCAGGAGGAATTGCCGCCCTATGGGCTTTTGGAGGGTCTTTGCTGCTGCCCACATATGGCTGAGAATGGAATAAGATCTCCCACCCTAAAGAGCTCACCTCTGCCTGGGCACATGGGGCGGCTGGGGGCAGGTTGGAGATTAAGGTCGGGGGAAAGAATGGGTTCTTTGTGGGTACATCGCCAGCTTGGAACACCTGGGGAGAAAGAGAACCAGGTCTAGAAGTCTCTCTCCGGCTTCCTCCTTCCTCAGGCTCAGAACCAGGAGCCCCTCCTCCCTTATACCCAGGAGTCCAAACTCCAGCTTCCTCCTGCCTCAGACCCAGCAGTCCACGCCCCCTGGCCTACCTGTGCGCCCTGGCTCTGGGCCTCGTGAACATAGCACTGGGCCAGGTCATGTGCGGCAGCCCCTCGGGCCCCCATGTCCACGGCCCCGTCCAGCCCTCGGCCAGCCCGCAGCTGCCTCATCCGCGCCTGGAGACGCCTCATGGTCTTGTCCCACACAGACTCCTGGACGAGGAGCCTGAGGCCCCCCTGTTAAGAAAAGGGGTGTCAGGGTGGGCAAACTCAGGGCCCAGGTAGGGGATACAGCTCCCCACAGAGGGCTGAGACTCGGGGACATCCTCACACAGAGCAGAAGGAGCACGTCTGAAGAGAGGCATGGACAAGGGGCCAAAGACCCCAGAGATTGTCAGAGGCCCCAAACCTGGGGCTGGGTGTGGAGTCACAGAAACTTAGAGATTTGCGGAGTGAAGATGGTGTTTGGAAAACTAGGGACCCGGACACTCAGGAAAAAAGAACTCTTACAGAACAAGGGAGGAGCCCTGGTGGCGTAGCAGTTAAGCGTTAGGCTTGTAACCAAAAGGGTGGCAGTTCGAATCCACCAGATGCTCCTTGGAAACCCTATGGGGCAATTCTACTCTGTTCTATAAGGTGGCTATGAGTCAGAATTAACTCGACAGCAATGGGTTGGTTGGACAGAACAAGGGACAAGGAGACCCAGGCTATCTGAGCTCAGGGCAGCCAGGGACATAGAGATTCAGGAAGTTGAGGTGATAACTCTCTGTTGTTGTTGCTGTGCCCTTGAGTTGATTCCAACACATAGGGACCCCACGTGACAGAGCAGAACCACCCCACAGGATTTCCTAGCGTGTAATCTTTACAGGAGCACATTGCCAAGTCTTTCTCCCACAGAGTGGATAGCAGGTTTGAACCACTGACCTTTTGGTTAGCAGCCAAGTACTTAACCACTGAGCCCCCAGGGCTCCTTGAGCCTCTGTTAAGGGTGATGAAAAAATTTGGAAAAGGACAGCAGTGATGGTTGCACAACATGGTGAATGTAATTCACATCACTGAATTATACATGTATAAATAGATGAAATGGCAAGTGTTATATATATTTCACCACAATTAAAAAAAATCAGAAGAAAGTCAAGGTGATGAGGGGTCTTGGCGATTCTGTGGTGTAAAGGGAAAATTAAAATGCATGGAGACACAGGCCCCAATGTCTGGAGACAGACCCCCAGACAGGGCTTCGAGAACCCAAAAGTTATACATAAGAATCATCTGGGGATCTCATTAAACTGTAGATTCTGATTCAATTATCTGGGGTGGAAATGCAAATTCTCAATAGGGGTTCGAACTGGAACGAACGGGTTCGAAGCCCTGCTCCCAGATGTGGGGGGCATGGCAGGTCTCACCAGGCTGCGGTCTGACCAGGCTGCGTCCACGATGCCCTCCACGGCTGAATCCACGTCTGCTGTGTCTGTCAGCAACAGCAGTGACTCTGACCCCAGTGCCAGGGCCAGCTCAGCACCACCACCCGCCAGGGTCTGCCGGAGGGAACGTCCTTCCTGTGGGATCCCCGGGGGTTCAGCTGGGGTAGCAGCCTCTCATCCCAGGCCATGCCCACCCCAGTTCCAGCCCTGAAGTTACCTCAACGGCTCCACAGAAGGCCACCTTCTGGACTCCAGGCTGGGAGGCCAAGACGGGCCCCAGGGAAACAGGGCCACTGAGCACGTTGAGGATTCCTGGGAAGGAACCTAACTCGCCTGCCAGCTGAGCCAGGAGGAGGGGTGTTGGGGAGGCCGGGGGCACGAGGGCCACCACAGTGCAGCCTGCGGGAGTGGGTAGGTCAAGACTCTGGAGTCCAGGCCCACAGCCCTGCCCCTCTCACACCTAGGAGTCCCTGACCCCCGGCCCCCTCCTCCCTCAGACCCAGGAGTCCAGATCCCCAGCACCCTCCTCCCTCAGACCCAGGAGTCCCTGCCCCC